TCAGTTTATAAAAAATAGTCCAGTCACTTCAAGCTTAAAGTGTCACAGTCCTCACTGCATTCTCTCTTCAATCATATCCATATTCATAACTATTTTGTACCTGTGTTTTAAGACTGAAGACCGACAGTGTCAATTAGATTTCCCCTTCAAAATAATTCTCTCAAGTCCCTTCTGAAATGCAAACCAGTCCACTCTTGCCTTACTGTAGTCTCTTGTGAAAGAAGTTCACTTACAAACTTTTACCAAGCCTCTCTGTTAGCTGAAGCATTCCGTGGTGATAAACTTGCAGAGTTCTACAGCCATCTGCAGGAACGCATCGATACTGTGGCAGAACAGCCTGTCACTGCTTACTGTGCGTGTTCCTCAGGTGAGAGAGCTGCTCATTGGAATATAATTGGTCGGCAAGTATTGATCATTACCCATTCATCTCATTGTGCTATAGAAATCAGGTTTTTTTTAAAACATCTATTGCATCATAATAGTATTTCCAAGTTAGAGTACAGATATTTAATAAATACTGCTAAACAAAAAATGCACACTCTTCCACCTCTGCCTTTGTTTAGTAATCAGAACTTTCATGCTTTTTGACAGAAGCAGAACATAAAACCATCGCTTTTGTTACTTACAAGTGATCTTAGCAATGTCCTAGTATTGTCTGCTATATGGTTTGATGCTAAATATACTAAGGGACAAAATTAAGTCTGCCTTTAATGTTGTTGTAACCGTCGGCACAATTGCAATGCACCAACAAAAGCAACTGCGCTGGTGCCAAATAAAGCATTGCAGCTTGCAAGGAAAGTGACAGCTGCTAACGGCAGACAGAGTAAAGCGATCAACAGACATGTTGGTACAACGAGACGTATAAAATAAGCATGCAAACATTTTGTATTTAATCCACTAGTACCCAGAGCTCCCCAAGGGAGATGACAGTCTCGCTAGTTGAGGCCATCGTGCTACTGCATGTGAAGCTACCTGCTGTGTAACGCTCTGGCTTCATTGCATCTTTCTGAAGAGACTGTGGTGCAATTACTGAATTTGAATAGAATTTTTTAATTTGGGAGAGAAGGGGTTTTTTTGCATTTTGGTATGGAGGGGTTGTGTTTGGTTTTGTTTGGGGTTTTTTACATGTGGGATGAGAGTTATTCCAGAAGCATGTAAAAACCAGAGAGCTAGAACTCACATTCAAGAGCATCTGCTGTCTGTCCTACACCTTTTTTTATTGTATTATCCTTCTCGGTGATGGGGCTGGTGAAGTTAGAACTCCAATAGCAGCAAAGGCAATAACTACTAGTGAAAGAGTTAAGAAGGTGGACTGCAATTAAAGCAGTGTGGCTGTAGGTTCCTCCCCAGAAGAGACCTTTGTTTGGGGAACATAACCAAATGGTCCGTTAACTGCAAAGGTGAAAGTAGATAAAAATCTGACATAGCCTGTTACAAATGTCTTGGAGAGGTGAACAAGTGTAACTGCAGAAATGGCATTCATCAAAAATATTTGCGTATTGAACTATGAAAATTGCAGAAAAAGAGGTTGAGTTGAGTAGGCATGCATAGAAATGTTTTGGAACTTTAAAGAGACAACTCTAGGCATGTTGCCCTAGTATAGGCCAATTATCTTGAAAAAAGAAATGGCAGGGAGGCTGCAGCTATTTAAGAAGGGGATAACAAAATTTCTGTCTGAGTGAATGTTTGCCACAGGAATGCATGGATGCTTGTGAATTGCTTTGAATGTCATTGCGTCTCTAAAAGTATTTTCTCATCAAAACTGCTTTTTATTGTGTTTATTATTATATTATTTCAACAGCTTTTTTGTTGCTAGTGCCTTTCCCAGTCCTTCTTCATTTCTGGGGCTCTTATTTACCGCGTAGAAAGGAGAATCTAAGCCCTGTCCGCAGGATGAAAAATGAATTGAAATTGACAGTGGCTTTTCCAGTGTTTTTGTTTAATACGTTGAGGCATGACACAACAACAACCAAAAAATTCTTGGCATGCTGGTGTAAGTTCACACCAGCCTGGCTTTTGCAGCCCTTTTATTTCCCTCTGCCGCAACTTTGCCGCTGCTGTGACACTTGCAGGCCCGCTCGGCCGCGGTGCAGCTGATGCCCTGTCCATGCTCATATTTTTCTTATTGACAGTGAGTGTTCTTGCCAAACGCCAGGGACCATAGTCACATCTGTTTGTCTCCCAAGCTCGTCTGAGGCTGCTTGGGAGCACTTTTTATCCAGAGGGCAGCTTTAACTAGGCCTAATACTCTGAAAAGCTTCTATTTGTAAATGCATACAATGAGGCGACAAGTTCCTGTTGTCTTTCCTTAAAAATTATTCCATTTGACACTGCTTGCTCCAATCCCTGTCACCAGCACGTCAAAAGCCAAGTTTTCAGGCAAGGTGGTCTTAACAAGTTTTATTTTTTCCCTAATAAAATGCCTAGCTTCCCTCCAGAGCACTATTTATAAATGATTGCTGGAAGCAAGCTAGGGGTAAGTAGAGAGAAGTCAGGCAAATAGCTTTCTTCCCTTCTGTAATCCACGCTCTTCTGATTTAATGCTAAGAAACATAATGCTGAACTTAGCCTGATTGAGGGTCAGAGTTCTCCCTGCTTTATAATACCCCCATTACAGGCATTTCAAAATGTACTGTGCAGCTTCAGAATAATACTTCATCTCGTATAACCTGCCAGTTCCAGAGCAGTGATACTTCTTGTCTGTTTCCTTTAAAAAAAAAAAAAAAAGTGCCTTTTTTTTTATTTTATTTTGCTGTGATCTACATTGACAGTGTATATCAAATGTTAAGACCTGGTTGAAAGTAAATGCCACTTCAAAATCGCGAGTTAGCTTCGTGCTTGATCTTAGTGGCCATAAATGTGGGTTTGACAAAGCTGAACTGGTGCTCTAGCATATTGTTATTTATTTGTAGCGTGCAGGATTTTCGACGACAACAAAGAAATACCCACTCTCACCTTGGCTGGTGATCGGGTGGTTGTGCTCGGCAAAGGCGAATGATTCATTTATGCTGAAGGAACAAGGCTGCCTTTCAGACGTTCATTGATTTTAAATTAAAAAGTAACTGCTATGTTCTACATGAAGGGTGACAACAATAACAAAGTAGTCCTTACTTAGTGTTATTTGTTGCAACTCCATTCGATGTGCCTGGAGGAAAAGTGGGGAGACCCCAGTACCATAATCTTACAGATCAATAATCTAGATATCTCAATGTAGTGTAACAGATAATCAATTCTGGGTAAAATAACTCAAACACTGCTAGCTGCTGCTGCTGTAGCTCAGGTCTTCAGGTTCAATTGCCTGACTTTATTAATTTTTATCTTTCATCCTACTTGTATTCCTGGAGACTTTCTCTCTTTTTCATTCGGAAGAGAAAACAGAGATTTACATGCTGTTTAACATATCATTTACCACACAACTTATTCTGCATATTTAATATCAATGCTTTTCTTAAATATTTTTTCTCTAATAATTGTTTCACCGTATTGTATCTAAATATAAATTTTCTTTATTTTACAATCAATTATGAAAGGATTACACTTCTTGATTTATTATTTTTCCCTAAATTTTGAACTGAAATTTATCACCATTTTAATGTTCTAGTTGAACTGTGTTCAGTTTCTGGATGTTAGCGTAGGATGCAATTTCAACTTAGAAGAACTGCAAGGAGAACATCTGTTTTAAAATAAAGAGAATTAAATAGGTGTTGACGTAGGGGTTCTCTAGGCAAGGCTAGAGTGCACTTCTGTGTGAAACAAATTTTTTTGAATATTTTACTATTTATATAAAAGCCCTATTGTACTTGTCAATTTGCTGTAACTTTTTAGAAGGATTATGTAGAGGATTGTACGTTGTCATCTTTTTCATCAAGGCATTGTTGTCGCTACTTTACATTATTCAGGAGACCTGAGATCTCTCAACATTATATGACCATTTGTTATTCATTTAGAAGCAGCACAGCTTTAAAATGTTTATAAATGCAGTGAAGGATAAGTCATATATCCACACTGAAACCAGATCCTGTGAGTGATAGAGTGTTACTGTGCTACGGTAGAGTGTCAGATGCAATTATCAGCTTGTAATTTGTGGTAAGAATCACAGTTTTCAGTAATACTTATTGAGACATACTAAAATTGTGGAGTTTAGGAATTACTGCATTTTCCAACCTTCTGTTCTAGTTCTTTCCAAAGAAATGCCAGTTACATATATTCCATTCTACAGGCACTGCATATTACTTTAAGAAAAATAGTAATTGTCCTTTAAGATTATATTCTAAAATTCAGTCTTTGGAAGTTCCAAATACACCCTTTTTTTGTGGTACCTGAACTTCTAATAGCTGGCTTTAAAGCAATAAGATTTGTTCGTTTGCCATCTTCTGCAGATCCACCAATTTTCCAGTCTCCAAGTGTAAGCTCGTAATTGTTTAATGAGTATACCAGATACTCTGCTTCCATCTTATCATTCTCGCAACTTGCCAGTGAATTAGAAAAGGACAAATTGCTATGCTACAAGTTCATTTCATGCACCTTTGAAGAGTTTACTGTTTCATGTTTTCTCTTTCATTCTTCATCTTACCTTAAAAAAAAAAAATTGATAATACTTTCCATGTAATAAATGTTGTTCTGACAGTCAGGCGTTACCAGCCAATTGATAACCTACCAACAGTATTGTGATCTCTTTAGATAATTAATCTTGGCCATTTTCCTGTCAGGAGCAACAGTGTTTTTGTTTTATGTTGAGCTAGAAAGATTGCCAGTTTTGAAAATTAAAAAGCATTCCCTTTATATTATTCATTCCAGTAACAATTTATGATGCTGCATTTAGATACTGAGCGCTTGTCAACAAACATAATTATGCCTCAATATAAACAAGATTGGTGGCTTGACTGTGCAGCTTCATCTTGGTTGAGAATGTTTTGATATAGGTTCAGATTATACAAGCTGTGTGTTTATGTGGCGATTTTCTTCTTTTGTTAATAGTTTTCTCCTATAATTACTTGCAGGCAAACCAGTGTACATTTAGGATCATTGTGCATGGGAGACATCAAACGGAGAAGGAAAGCTGCTCCCCTGCCAGGACCCACAGGTAACCAATTTCCCTGGGACAGAGCACAAAACACGAGATGTTAAATCTCTAAATACAAAGGAGCAGGTCAGTGACCTGGGGAAATGCTTGAGAAATTCAGTAACTTCCCATATAACTTCAGCTATGTCCTATCCTTATTTATTAATAGAGATTTATAAATAAATAGACTCTCTTAATTCTCCCTCAAATATTTCCAATTTCTAGTCCTTTGTAACATGGCACTTTTTAAAAGAGAATAAATCTCTTTTCATATACTAAGAATCATAGACAGTAAAGATTACTGCTTATGTCTGTTCAAGCATTGCAAGGTAAAAGACACGAGGTATCTTTTTTTTCTGTGAGGATTGCATATGAATGCTATAAATGTCTTGCAAAATAAAGGTAAGATATGAATTCTTGGGCAAACAATTGAAAATATGGAGATATAGCTGTGAAGCACAGCTTAAAAATTAGTGCTGTGAATTAAGTAGGAAGCACTTTCAAGCACATTTCTGAAAGATTTTTACAGATGCGAGGTCACAACCATTGGATGCATTTTGCTGATGTCACAGCTGTGAAATGACTTTTTCGATACTTAGCGGTGATTTATAGGACTCTCATCAGTTTGTTGTATTAATTATATATGTGCATACTGGAAGGATTAGATTGTGTGTGCATGCCTGTGTGAGGCTTTTTTATATATTGCTAATATGAAAATCTCAATTGCATGTCCTAGTCATATATCAATTACTGTAGCAACATATGCAATATATACACTTCTTCAAATATATTCTAAATATATGTCTTTAGAGAAGCCTAATATTTGTATTCCAACTGAATTCCCCTTCCTGAAGGTTCTTTGTTTCAAACCTCAGTGGCAGAAACAGACCAAGAATAATATTAAAAATGTTATTAAAGCACCTTAGCGGCAGCAGTATGGAAAAAGAGAATGTATGGGTCAACTTCTAAGACTCTGAACATATGTGAAGTGAGAAAGAAAAATACTTAATGGCTGAAGAGAGAATAATATAATTATTTCTACAAGGTGATTTTCACATCACGACTTTCAAGTACTAGAGGATGTCATTTTGTACTGAGAGTGTGAAGTATCATGGAGTTCATTTTATTCATTTTACCTTGGGCTTTCAGTGTTTCAGTATTTTATATTACAAGCTGGCTCCTCTGCGTAACTTTGCAAAGCCAATATTTTGATACCAAGGCAAATATATTATGTGATCATTCAATGTTATATATCTATATATTCAAAATTGTAGAGATTGTTTTGCCCTATAAATTTGCCTTTACATGGAGAGCAACAGAGAATAATGGTGGATAAAGGTTTCATATGAAGTGCCTTTTAACTAATGTGTGGGTTTTTTCTCTTCAAGTTCAAGGTGATCTTTTCAATTTTGTTCTGGGCAGGAGGACTGGAAATTTTTTCTGTGGCCTTATAAAGATTTTTTTTTTTCTGCATTTCATTATTGCAAATTTTTAAGCAAATAGACACTTTGGTAGACTTTGAGTAAACTTGTATATATGTGTAGATAATATACACCATTTTATATATTATTACAGTTTTCTCAAAGGCTAACTTTCCCACAGCTAAATCATTATTTATCCATCACAAGCCTTGTTTGTTTGTCTTCATTAGTGTTTCATACCATTTGAAGAAAGAAACGGGGTTTCCTTTTAGAATGGAAATACATTTTGAAATTTGAATTAAAATGAAAGATTGCTATTTGAGTATTTTCCTTTCAGTAGTTTTAGTTAGCTAAGATATTGGAACAGAAGGGTTAGACCTTATGTTGTAGAATTTTGAAACTGTTTTCTTGGAAGAAAGAAAAGACAAAAGTTGTATATTTACATGAACAAAAGTGGGAAATGAAAAGAAACATTCTGCTAATAATTGTCAGTATTTAACAACATAGTGAAACCTGAAAGGCTCTCTGTAAGTGGGTCATTAACTGCAAACATTTTCTTGAGCCGTATATGCTACAAATTAGAAAGTTTTACCTAATATGAGCCAATCCATTGAAAACAGTATTTTCAAAATTCTCACTTGTGTTTTTTGAATAAATTGCATTGGTAAATTAACTGATCATTTATATGTTTAGATTCCATGCTACTGAAGAGAATAGCTGGTGATCCTAATGAAATACTGAAACATGGTCTCTGGTTTTGAGCCTCACAAGGGTAGCACCTGCTACTTTCAGAGATCTTACAAAGCCATAGAATTCTGTAGCAAGCAGTGTTATTGGTTAAACATTTATTAATTGTGACAAGAACACCCAATTTATTTCAGTACTCCAGCTTATTTACTGCTCTTTCACCTTTGTATTTTGTATTGAAAAAGTAAAATGAATATTGATAGAGTTAGATATTGATTTCTAAATTTATAGCCTGTTCTCAGCCTGGAGTCAAAGTCACATACCAGTAGGTTTGTGTATATTAGTAACAATGGATGTAGATTTACTTGTACAGCAATGAGAAACTATTGAAGCAAGGAAGTTTGAGCAGCACGGAGCATTTTATAGTTTCAAAAATGTCATTTGTAAAGGTGAAAAAAAGCTGTGTTGAAAAGCAATGAAGAAAATGGGAGATAGTATAGGTATGGATTGTTAGGAGCTAGCAGTACTAAGACAGGAGTGCCCTATTCTGTCTTTTTTACTAAGATAAATCTTCTGGTTTTGTGAGTGCATGATACATCTCCATCTGCATGTTACTGAACCTAGATAGTTTTAGACAGTTATTTAGTTTATCAACTAAAAAAAGGTACTAGTAAAAATTGTTGACTTCCTATGACTTCTTTTAAGAATAAGGTGTTGTACATTATAAATATCTACTTTTTTTTGCACAGCTTCTTCCATGAAACCAATATTATTTCAGCGATTCTAGTCATATTTGGGACCAGGTCATTCTCAATGACTTTATGTCCTCTCTGACCACCCAAGTGGTAGAGCTATTTCATATGGCACCTTGACATATTTGATTGCAGCAGTACAGTGCCCTCAAGGTTGTACAAAACCTCATAGACAAACTAATACATTATCATGGAAAGAGCCCTACCAAAACTGGATCCAGTATTAATGAAACCACACAAAAACCGAAAAAAGAACTTGTATGCAAGCAAAAGGATGTTCTCTGCATAGTATTGTTATTACTTGAAACACATGCATTGGGAATGTTTATAGAAATTTCAGTCTTAGATTACCTATTTTAAGTTTCATACTGAACCAGTAGATGCTACAGAATTTTAGATATCATGTTCATACGCTGAATATGCAATTGCCCCAATTCCTCTCCTATTGACTATACCTTCTTCTGTATAAGCTTTCTTTCTCACTCTGTTCCTGTTAAGTCTTTAAGACCTTTTAGATTATTTTTCTGTTTTATTTTTTAATAAGAAACCTGTAAATCTTAAATGTTGGAAAAAATCGTCAAATGCTGCCTCACATCTGCAGGATGTTAATAATTTACAGAATGTAGGAAGTTTGATTCAGAACAACAAAAAAAAGTTGGTTTACTTGTGTCCCTTGTAAATAGCCATTTATTTCTATTTGAAAATAATCTTTTTGCTCCAATGTTTACATAGCATTGTTTACATTTTGGAGCAGTGGTGAAAACAGGCAAAAACTAATTTTAAAAAGAGAAAGCTATTTTGTAGTTAAAATACAGCGAATATACATGTAAAATATATAAATTATTGTGCATGTTATGGGCACTTTAATAGTTACACTTTGTAAAAGCAAATTTCAGATGTCATTTTCTTTATCTAGTTGGCATGTTGCGTGCTACAGTTCAGGCTGGTACTGATTGAAATGACCAAGTTAAAAGTCTCATTTTAAAGAATGTGTTTTAATGAAAAATATGACAGATTCTTAATTATAGCAGAAATACTGAGCACTGCTATAATGCCATCATGACTCACTTTAACAAGGTAATCAAAAGGGTACATGTTTTCATTCCTTCTTAAAAATTGCCAATGGAACAGCTAAGCGAACTATTTTGCTGATGCTTAATATGTCAGTGATTAAAAATCAGACCTGAATATCTGCAGTACCGAAATGATGATTTGGAAAAGATTGTGATTACACTGTGATAACAGAGGTGGCTGAGGCTAAGTTTGTGGTGAAGGTCAGCTTAGCGAGATGGTTGCAGAGAAAGGGGAGACTTTTGTGTACTTGGATGAACTGGCAGTAAATTTTCAAAACTCTGGACAAACTATTATACGCTGAATTTCTTTTTAGCTTGATTCACTGTTTTTCATCTGTTAAATGTACAGCTCTACAGAAATCCCTTTTCACAAGGCAATACAACATCGGCACGTGTTGTGAACACTTCCCCTTATTGTGTTGAGCCATTTCTTATCCTTAGTCTATCAAAGTCCTTTCTGGGTTACACAGCATATCTGCTTGATCATCCAGCCTATGGATACTCTTCCTTGTTTGGTTGGTTTCTGCAGCAGATGAAATTTTAGGGCCTCCTTTCTATTTATCTTTTTTTTTTGGGGCTACTGTATGGTCTCACTAAATGAGTTCCAAAATTGGAAGATCGACAGAGTGCCGTCCAGTATTGGAAACTGCTGTCCCTGCAGAGCAAAAGACTTTTCATGTTGATCTGTAGTCATTGGTTCAAGCGAGGCCCCCTTATGTATAAACACCAGAGTAACAAGGAGAGTTCAGTAGCAAACTTCAGCAACAAGAACCAACCTCATACTGGAATTTGCTGATGGATTTCTTGTGATCTAGAGAGAAGACAGTATTCTTTAGGCTGTACACACAGCCAGCATGAAGTCACAAAGAAACCTTCAGGTTGACAGAACACGACTCTACCTGTCTTTTCTAAATGCTGTCATCTTCTGAAATATGGAAGGTTAAAAAATAATTCCCCAAATTACTCTGGGAGTCTCTCCTAAGGTAGCTGTTTCTTTCTGGTCGTGGGAAGCATTCAAATTTCCTCCATTGGGAGCTGGACTTGATGATCCTTATGGATCCTTTCCAACCTGAGATATTCTATGATTA